CACTTAGTCCTGTACATCTATTCAAGATTAAGATTTGATTTCATTTAGCACACTCCAAACAAGCACTTCTTAGCTGAGGCATCTAGAAGCCAAGGTCAGGCTTTAAAACTTCAACTTAAGCTCAAAATGACAGAGTGAAATCCCCACCTCCTTTGGAAAATCAAAAAGTTGGCATTTTCAGACCTGGGTCCTGGCTTCTTCTGAACCATGATGCTCATGGTAGGTTGACTCCCTCAGCTTCAGCATCCTCAGCCCATGGGAGCCAGAGATGAAGTACCAGGAACACTGTAAGATGTGACCCCCCAATAAGTGACTCAGGGCCCCTGAATTCTACAGCAAAGATCACACGTCATAATAAAGTAATTGAAGACATGTTTTCTAAGACATTCATTTTGGTTACTTCTCTTGTGCTGGAAGCATATAGAATGGACCCCAATGGGAAATGTAAGGGACTGAGGATATGAACCATCAATAAGAAGGCCAACAGCACATGGAACTGTTGGAAACTCACACTTTCCTGAGAGGTCTTAGAGATGTATGTTCAGGTGGGTGGGAAAGAGAAGGAAGGAGAATTTTTTCCCAGTAGCAATAGAATAGTGACAGAGCCATACCCAAGGGTGCTCAGTCCTGAGGGCTTGCTATTTCATAGGCAGAAAGAGCAGGAACAGAATTTCATGTCATCTGGTAACAGTGATAGTGAAGACTGGGCTATAGCTCAGTGGTAAAGCAGTTACCTAACACACACAAAGTCCTGGTTTCAAAGCCCAGTGCCACCAAAAGAAAACCACCCTCCCTTGCAAAGAGGGAAAAAAGTGACAGCAGCATTTCCAATGATCATCTGATAAAACAAAGACCAGTTCAAAGTCACAGCATCGGACTCATGAGATAACTTGAAATGACATAAATGTGTCATGGAGAGTCTCGAAAACGTAGCCGCAGCAGAACCTAGAATTGCCAAAGGAAATCATCCTTCAAGGCCATCCATTCATTGACGTCACAATGGATTGGCCCAGTGATATCACAGTCCCCGACAAGACAAAACAGCAGAGGCCAAGAGAAATATTACAGAAGAGGAGAGAATGGCAGCCAGCAGAGACTTCAGGCTACAGTTGAAGGACCTAGGGCAGGATCTCAGAGCGCATTAGACCGGCAAGAACCAGGGCTGAGAAACAATTGCCAGATTCATAAGAATCCCTCCTGGGCTCCATAGAGCAGCTTGGCCCAGCACTGTCAAACAGGTGTAAAAACAATAAAGACATGTCCTGAGGCTGTCCAAGCCCATGAGAAAAGTGCAGCTCAGCCAACGTCCACCATTCCTGTGGAGAGGACAGCTGTAGAGAAGCATGGGTACATGGACACCATGCAGGGAGATTTCCCTCCAAACCCACTGTCCGGTGTATGTGTCTGCCGAGGCCAGCTTGAAGTCAAGTACCAATGGTAGAGCAGGTTGGGGCGGGCTCCAGGGACCGGAAGGCTGCGGGTGGGCTCTTGGCCACTTCCTTGTGGTGGGCAGGCCTGGCTGTCTCAGAAATCCACAGCTCAGTTCCTAAAATAGTTGCTTGTCATGTTTCACTCTGCTGACAGGTGATTTGATGAATGACGTTGACATCTTTACTCAGGTGCAGGATGTCCCTGGTGGGCTTCTTCTAGACAGGGCCTCTTTGGGAAGAAGTGTCAATGCCCTGGGAGTGTACTTTAGAAGAAGTGGGTAACCAAAGAATAGAAAACTCTCTCTCCAATCTCCTGAAAGGCTAACAGGGGGCAAGTGGGTGGAGTCACACTGAAGATGGCGTCTTTTCTGAAGATGAACTAGTTCCCAAAGGCCCAGCAACCTCTGGCCCTTCGACAGCCTGGAAGGGGGGCCTAGAAAGAGATATGTCCATTCTCCAAGCACAGGCCATATCTCTGAAAAATCTTCCTTCTTTTCTTTCTTAGTTTTCCTGTGGTTTGTTGCTGTTGGGTTGGTTGGTTAGTTGGTTTTAGGGTTTTTATGTATTTACTTTGAGACAGTTTTAGGCTCTACACAAGAGTTTGGGCCTCCAGCTCTCTATGTAGGCAAGGCTGACTTTGAACTGCCGATCCTCCTGCCTCCACCTCCCAAGTGCTAGGATTATGGGTATGCACGACCATACCCAGTTTATACAGAACTAGGGATCAAACCAGGGCTTTGTGCATGCTAGGCGGGTACTCTATCAACTGAGCTGCATTTCCAGCCCTAGAATCCTTTCTTAGGTCAGAACTGGGCCCTTTGCATGTCCATTTCCGTTAAGTGAAGAAAGAGCCAAGTGCATAAACAGAGTTTGAGGGGCTGAATTCGAGTCGCAGCTCATCTCACTGGAGGCTCTGAGATGACAGGCCCTTTCAGCTCAGTGCTTTCTTGGGGGTTTTAAATATGTGAGATCACAGGGATTTGGCATGGATTCCTCTGCCCCAGACTACTGAAGGAACAAAGCCAACCAGAAGGGCTGGGTTGGGAAGTGGAGCGGGGAGACCGAGGGACAGCAGGGACCCTGGACCTTATTACAAATTAGGCCACTTTAATATCCATAATTAATTTTAACTCATCAGATTGAAAGAAAAAGTTGAAAGGGACTTGGACAAAAGTAATTGGATGGCTTTGCTAAAGCCCAATCAGAGACATGTTTTCTTAATTAAAAAGAACTGGTCTATGTATTAGGCGGGCAGGGTGAGTGCTGAGTCAATCATGCGAAATTATAATTTTAAAAAGCAATCAACACTGTTGGGATGCCTCCACAGTCTGAGGTCCTAGTAACCAAACTGGCCACAGTTCCCAAATGAAGTCTACCACTGGCTGACTTTATCATCAGGCCCCAGAGGAAAATGCAGACTGTTAATTCAATTCAGCAGACTGCCTCCCAGGGGAATAAAGCAAAGCAAGGCATTCCTTTTTCTTTTTTCTTTTTTTAAGGCCTCAATACTGACTGTTTCTAGTGGTAAATACAGGAACACCCATGCTGTGCAGTGCTTCCAAGAAACACCATGACAAAGAGAAACAAAATGTCATATCACACCGGGTGGTGGCTACTCAAGAGTCACATCCAAATTACCAGCATAAAAGAAACCTTAGTAAGTCACAGCCTAAAATCTAGGAGACATTTCCTCCCAGAGAAAAGTGGGGTGCTTTGAGAAGCTGCATTCATTCTCCCTGGGAACCAAAAATGACAGTTGTCGTGAGCTGCCTGGGAAATAAACACATCCTCTAGAAGTGTTTTACTTCCTTGGGATCCCAGCACATACTCTAAGCACCTACTTCCTACAAGGGGGTGTAAGTAATCTTTGGAGGTGATTATGTGCCCTGTGACTGCATCTCACCAAGTCCTAACACCCTGCGAGGTATCCTGCACCCTCACTGACAGAGCAATGAACTGAAGCTCAGGCCCACTGGGCAGGTTTCTCCAAAGCCACAAGGTTGCAACAAAGAGAAAATTCTGTCAGAAAAATCTCACCGCAGATGCTCAGCATCACACTTGATTTCTGGGCTGTTGAACAACCCAAGGAATCCAGGACCCAGGAGCACTCGTACTAGCGTGAGCAATGGTGAATTCAGTACCACTTAACAGCTATGCACTTGCTTCTAGAAGCTTCCATTTCCCACTCCTCCCAGTTCTAGAGAAGACTTCTGAAAGCTGGAATTAACCTCAGACACTGGGGGCTGTTTCCTCTCTCTTACCCTTTGGATTTGCTTGTCCAGAACAGAACTGAGTATTCAGTGTAGGCTTGGCCCATCAGAGTACTTCCCAGGCAGCAAGTGCTCAGGGGTGGGCATATGGTACAAGCTAGTCCAGTGAGCATCAAGGCCTGGCTTCCTGCTGAACCCAGCAAGGGAGAGAATTCTTGTATTTGAAGAATTCTCAAGGTCTCACCTTGAGATCCTGGGAAACCATACCATACACTAACTGACTTTCTGAGGATTCCACCAACAAGACACAAAACTTTCCAGTACCATCAGTTCCCAACAATCCAACCAAACTAAAGCAAGAAATAATTCTGAACTTCTCAGCTCAGTGAACTAATAAAATCCACTTTAGAGGCTCTGAGTGGACTGTTGCTCCCAGTCAAGGGTTCTGGTGAAATCCACAGAGCATGAATGGCCTTGGGTATTGGTTTTTGTTGTTCTTGTTTATGTGCATTGGTGTTCTGCCATGGGTGTCAGACAGCTGTGAGCTGCCATGTGGGTGCTGGGAATTGAACCCGGGTCCTCTAGAAGAGCAGTCAGTGCTCATAACCGCTGAGCCATCTCTCCAGCCCCACAGAGCATGAATGTACAACACTTCTTCATGCAAGTTGAGCACCCCAAGTCTGAAAAGCATCAGCTGATGGGTGGTGGTGCACTAAAAATACCGTATAAAATTAACATACAGCCATATGTATGTAAAGTGAACAGAGAATATAAATTAATTTTGTCAGACATAGGTCTTATCCCCAAGAAATCTCATTATGTATATATGCAAGTATCCCCAAAATGAAGAAAAGAAACATTTGAAACCCTTCTGGCCTCAAGCAGAAAGACCTGGGTTCAGTTCCCAGCATCCACACGGTGGCTCACAACCATCTGTAATTAGTTCCAGAAGACCTGGTACATCTGCTGACCTCCATGGGCACCAGGCATGCACGTAACACACACAAATATATACATACAGGCAACACATTTATGAATTAAATAAAATGAATCTAAAAATTAAAATAATTGAGGTGTTTCCATGATTTTTGTGGGAAGGAAAAAAAAAGTAGAAATCCCACCCAACAGAATGCTTGTCTGAATCAAGAGGTGGTGGGGATATCTACAGCTCTAGCCTTTGGGTAATAGTGCTCTAGGCTGAGGGTCCTAGGAGTCTATATAGGCATCTGTGGCCAGGACATTTGCCACAATTTGTAGGACCCCCCCACTAGCCACTGTATTTGCTGAGCAGAAGCTGTCCAACATCTGGGGCCATAGGTACCTTTGTCCTGATGGGTACCAAGGCTCCATCCACACTCACCTGAAGCACTGGAGCCCCGGGACACATCCTGTGACTGGGTGGAACGGTTGCGGCTCTGCTGGCGACGCCGACTGGAGGCTGACCTGGTGGTGCGCACATGGACCTCGCTCACCTTGAAGAAGGCCACCATGAAGGGCTGCTTGTCGTAAGGGCCGTCTCTGCCCACCAGGCCCGCCGCACGGGGGTTGACGTGGAGTCCTTTAATGCAAACCAAAGCCCACCCCTCTTTACTCCACAGAACCTTAGTCTCAAAGCTACACGATGAGGTGACTCTGTTCTTCCACTACTACTAAAGTAGTAAAGAGTGGGAAGTATGGGCAAGGCCCCACACATTCTCCCACCCTGGCTGGTTCCCTTTAGATGGGCAGACTCCAAGTGTGCCTCCTAAAAAGCACAGGATCAACCCAGGGAGTGCTCTTGTTTCTGGTCCTCTTATTCACCGGTGTTCACACTTCCTTTCTGGCTATATTTCTCCCCATCCGTGGAACAACTGTGCAGGAGTTGAACAACTGAAGCAGGCAGCCAGTCAGGAGGGGATGTCTCCTCAAGGGTCCCTTGGCAAACTCACTGGACAGTCAGATTCTAACAACTGTCCCCTTCCCAGGCTCTCCCTTTCCTTCCTCTTCCCTTCCATCTCTTCTATCTTTTGGTGCTGAGTAGAACCCAGGGATGCACACAGGCTGGACAAGTGCTCTATCACTGAGCTGTCTGCCCCAAGCTCCCTGCCTTCCTCTGGGGATTCTCCCACCTGCCTCAGCCTGGGGAAGCTAGCCTCCCATTGTTAGTCTCGTGGAGTGGGGACGTTAGGGGACATGGCCTGAGCCTGCTTCCAAGTCCTTGCTAGAAGAAAGGTTTTGCTTTTCGATATGGTCATGAGGAAACAGAAAAGAAGGTCATCCTGGCGCCAAGACTGGGCTACAAACAATGGTCTCTGCACAGCTGCTACAGAGGAAATGAATGGAAATGACTGTGGGTAGATGCTGGCAGTGTGCAAATCACAACTCACCGTCCTGAGTCACCACACTCAGCTGCAGCCCCATGTTATGCTGTGGTGTCACCACCCACAGATTGCTGGTTGCTGTGATGTCAAATTCCAGCCAGCCTTCTTCTGAGGCCCACACTACACGGGTGTCCAACAAAAATAGGTCAGAGTCTCTGAAAGAAAGAAAAATGGCGCAGCGAGTCACCTGCTGTCCTGTGGCTCATTCCTATTGTGTCTTGTCGTTCAAGAATGCCGAAGTCAGATCGTGCCCGTTTGTGTTACCAGCCACAGCTCTGCCCGAATGACACCACGTAGTATACAGACACAACATAATTGGGAAAGACGCAGGACATGAGCGATGGGGGGGGGGGGGCGCTCCTTAAATTCATCACCACCTACTGCTTCCCACAACAATTTTTTTCTTGGAATTAGGGTAATTGCAAATATTATTTCATTTGTCTCAATATTTAGTTCATCTTTTATTATGGCATTGTTTCATTTATGATGCTATCTATTGGTTAATAGCTTAATTATGGCTAGTGAACTCTAAAAAGTAGAAGGCGGCGAGCAATAGGCATAAGACAAGATTAAGTCAGGATCCAACTAATACATAATGATTAGGTGTCTTGCATCAAATCTCTACAAATATCATCAGGCCAGGTGTATAAGATATATGTGAGTTGGGGAGAGAGAAAAAAAGATATATGTGAGTCAAAAATAAATTTTGCATTTAGACTTAGCAGCCATTCTCAAAATATCTCATTATGTAAAAAAATTCCCAGAAACACTCCTAATCCCATGCAATTTACATAGTGGATACTAATGTCTTCACTAGTTTAAAATAAGCATCAAGTTCTAATAGTGTACATTTACAGAGCAGTCTCTTTTACCTTGCTTTACCTAGTTGTCACAATAATCATGACTGTTGGAGTATAGTGTCTCCATTCTCAGCTGGGAAACGGAGTCTCAGACATGAGGTTATGGGTCAGGATTATGTAGCCAAGATTAAAGCAAACCAGTGTGGGAATTTAGTGAATGAACAAAGCAAGGAGCTCAGCACTGATTCAAAAAGTTTTTCATAACAACAGACTATCTTTTGAGATTATTTCCCAAGACATCCTGTGATACATGAATAAAGTTCACTTCTCATTCATCGGCATTTTTGGAGGCCAGGGTAACATCTGAGTTTAGAATCTTCGATTTCTTAGATGAGAAACACACTTCTCCCTTCCAAGGCAGCTTGGAGTCAGAAGGGAGCTCTGGTGTCATCGTCCCCACATGTAAACAGTAGGTAGAGTGACAGGGAGTTTACTCAGCTGCTCAGCAGTCTGCAGGGGCACACTCAAGCCTGTCCTCTTTAAAGCTCTCCCCCACCTGGATGTGTCACATCCCCTGTGGACAGACTGCCCCCCTGTGACTGGGGCAACGACTTCGAGCAGGGGGATGAGGGGTGTTCAGGGAAAACAGCAAGAGGGGACCGCGAGTCCAAAGCTTTGAAGTGGAGATGCAGAAAGACATAAGGTCCACTCGGCAAGGTCATAGGAAACTCTCGTCCAGAAATAACACAGACGGGACGAAGGGCTCTGTGGGAAAACCAGCCTGGTCCCAAAGAAAGCTGAGGACGTCATCATGTTAGGGACAGACCTTGACTGGCACTCGCTAGAACCAAGATCCGGAGAGAAGTTCAAGGTAGGAGGTGGAGTGTGTGCCTACATACAGAGCCCCTGACAAGGGTCAGTGGTTAGGTACAGAGCTCCAGCTGTGCAGCAGGTACCTAATATCTAAGGAAGCAAGAGAAGGATGCAGACAGGTGCAGTGTGGATATGGCAAGGCTGGCAGGCAAGGCTCGCGCACAGAGCTGGAACGGGCTTTATGTTTTTGTTTCTGAGGAGAGGGGTTCAGAAGATAGGATGGAGAGCTGAACACGGTGGTGCACATGTAATCCCAGCCTGAAAATCACTGTCTAAAACGGAGATGGAAAACAGAACAGGGAGAAAGAGAAGGGAATGAGGGAGGCCAAACTATGGATCTGGGAGCAAGTAAAATCTGAGAAAGCATTGGAAAAGAGGTGGTGAGAAAGATTCATTATTACAGTGTGGAAGAAATTATTTATACGGCTGTACTGGCTAGTTTTATGTCAACTTGACACAAGCTAGAGTCATCAGAGAGAAGGGAACCTCAACTGAGAAAATGTCTCCATAAGATCAGGCTGTAGGCAGGCCTGTAGAACATTTTCTTAATTAGTGATTCATGAATAAGGGCCCAGCTCATTGTGGGTGGGACCAACCATGGGCTGGTGGTCCTGGGCTCTATAAGAAAGCAGGCTGAGCAAGCCATGAAGAGCAAAACAGTAAGCAGCACCCGTCTATGGCCTCTGCATCAGCTCCTGTGCAGGTTCCTGCCTTGTTTGAGTTCCTGTCCTGACTTCCTTCAGTGAAGAACAGTGATGTGGAAGTGTAAGCCAAATAACCCCTTTCTACTGCAAGTTGCTTTGGTCATGGTGTTTTATCACAGCAACAGAAACTCGAAGACAATGGTTTATGGTCATCAGTGGACATTGGGGGCTGAGTTTCTGTCGTAACCACTGCATTCTGTAGTACCCAGAATGCATAGTTGTTCCTGTGGTGCCCATTGCTCACGATAATGAAGATCATGGCAGTTCTCGATGCTTTATGAGACCGGCTGAACAAATGCAGTCCAACAGCTACTGGTTCAAGACCTGGGGGGCAGGGAGCTTGACTTTAGGATGCCCAGGTCCTCTGCAAGGGACAGCAATATACTGACAGATACAACTCAAAGGAAGGAAGGATTACTTTTGGCTCACGGGTTCAGAGGGTTCAATCCATAACTGCTTGGACCTGTGGGCACAAGCAGAACATCCTGACTGTGGGAGCATGCTATAGGGGAGAGCTCTTTACTTCAAGGCTATCTCTTGAGACAGAGGGTGAAGAGGGATGTATGAAGATATACAGGGAGGGAAACAGGAGAGAGGGAGGAAGGGAGAAGGAAGAGAGGGAAAAGTAGAAACAAAAACAACATACCCTCTGGAATAAACCCCCAAGCTAGCCTCTAGCTAGGCCTACCACCTCCCAAAATGCCACCGTGTGTGTGTGTGTGTGTGTGTGTGTGTGTGTGTGTGTGTGTGTGCATGTGCATGCGTGTGTATGACAGGGCCTCACTATATAACTCTGGCTGGCCTGGATTTCACTATGTAGACCAGGCTGGCCTTCATCTTACAGCTATCAGCCAACCTAGTATAAGAAGCAGCAGACAAGGCACACTGTCTCGAATTAGACTGCAAGAACCGATGCCCGCAGTTGCCTTCTGACCTCCACACAGATGCTCACACCCTACCTAAGTACTAGGTTGCCCTCTGACCCCCCACAGATGCCCACACCCGACCAAAGCACTAGGTTGCCCTCTGACCTCCACACAGATGCCCACACCACATCTCCTACCTCCCCTCAGAAGAGGTTGAGACAAATGGAAGCTTTCATGAGAAGAGTTCATGTAAACTTGAAATAAAAACCATTGATTTGGAGGGTTTGTCTGCAGGATTTGGCCATAGCTCACTGATAGAGATGGCCATATATGCAAATGTCCTCGTCAAGAAGCTTGTCTGGAATATTCCATTAGTAGGAATTTCTTGCAGTAGTTCTTGGCTTGTGCACCAGAGGCTCATTCTTTATGGCCCCCATTCCCATCTATAAAAAGCAGAGTCTAGGAATGGCCACAGTACAGCTGCAAATACCAAGCAAGGGTTCAAATAAAGTATGGAACCAAGACCCAGTGTGTTTAAAGATCAGAGTCAGCTACCTATGGAAACAGGGCAGAAACGGGGTTAGAATCATGAGCCGGCCCCACACACTAGGATCAGGGTGCCTGAGAGGTGCATCCAGGCAGGCACACTATGGCTAGCTGTGGTGGAACCCCTAAGACCTTCCTGACTTTTCCCTCTTCCTCCCATTCAAGAGAATGGTGCGCTCAGTGTGATGGCTTCACTGACGTCTGCTAAGGTCTGAAGGTGTCTGCCCCCAAAGTCACGGGTTGGGGACTTATTCTCCAATGGAGCAGTGCTGAGGGGGGTCTTTGGGGTGTGATTAAGTCCCAAGGGCTCTGCCCTTAGGAATGGATGGTATCCTTGTCACTAGAGAAGGTTCCTGATAGAGGACAAACTTCCCCCCTTTTCTCTTTCCATCTACTTTCCATTCTGGTGATGACATAAGAGACGGTCCTCACCAGCTGTGGCTCCCTAGTTTGGATTGACCATCTCCCAGAACTGTGAACTAAGAGATCTCTGTTCTTTGTAAAAGAAAACATCAATCTTTGGTATTTTGTTATACTGGAACAAAGTGGACCAAGAAACACCCATTGACACAACTAACACAAGGAACTTTACAGAGGAAGAAAACTCTAAATCTCACAGCCTCTAGGAACTCTCCGGCCCCATCTATTCGTTTACTTCGGTGACTTGTGGCCTTCTTAGTGCACTGACTCCTCTGTAAAGTGTGGCCTCCCTTGGGCAGATGGAGGGCTCTAGCTCAGTGTCGGAGAACTTGCCCAGCATGTGCAAGGGTTCCAGTCCCAGCACTGGGAGAATAAGAGTTCCCCCAAGCCAAACAACATGCATCTGATTCCTCTTAATCACACTCTGTCACTCAGGTAAGAGACCAGAGTTCAGATGGCCTCAGGTATAAGAGACCCTGCACTGCTAAATGGAGAATCCCCACCAACCACAGTCACCCCAACTGGTAATTTGGACTCTTGCTGACATGGCAGACTCCACTTACACAACAACTATAACAACAAGAAAAAAAATTCTTAAAACCAAAAAAGATACCATCTGTAAGGCGTCTGTTGACTGTTTTGCTCTCAATCACCACTCAGATCCCACTGTGTTTGATAACCAAGGCTTCCATGTCCAGAGACAGAACAATGTTACTCTTCTCGGAGTTTCCATTCTAGTGTGTGATTATCCTCAGACTATAATCATCCTGGAAGAGGTTTTTTTTTTTTTTTTTGTTTTTTTTTTAAACCAATCGACAAGGCTAACTGAAGAGATCTACAAATTAAAATTAACACTGGCATTAAAGCTGACAACTAGCATTCCACTCAAAGACCTGGAAGGTTCAGGTTGGTGGGCACAACTGTCCCCAAGTGGTCTCCCCTGTGA